CATGACTTGAATTAGAAAGGTCATGATAATATGTCTAAGGTATACGAGAAGACTTGAAAATCTCAGCATCATTATTTTGTTGTAGACGTTTGAAGAATCATAATGCTTGGACAGATGACAATGTTTGTCAAAGTAACCGAAAACGTCTTCCTCGTTCATCTTGTCATCGTCATCAACATCATAATCATTATCTACGAAATAATTGGAATTATATGAGGGAACACAGAGTAAATTGATTTCTTTGTTCCAAGAAGAGTTAGGCGTGATCAGTTAAACATTGATAGAAGAGGAGGATAGAAAAGAGAATTGTCAAAAAATTCTACATCAGAGTAAGAAGTACCAAAAGAAAACGAGTTGGACAAAACACTGCCATCTAGATTAATCAAAGCGAATAAAGTAAACATTTGAGGTGTTACAAAAGTTTTAGAAAATTGAGTTGTCATGATTGGCATTTTAATGGTGGTCGTAGAGCATTATCTGGTGGACTTATAGTGGTCTGATTAGGGATGAGTGACGACTATATATGCATGCAGTGTTTGAGATATTAATGCAAAATGTGACGTCACCAGTGGCATTGGAGATGTGGTCGTTGCGGAATGTCTACTCCACTCAATATTTCCTCATGTGAGAAAAGTAGCTAATGGAAAGTATTCTAGTGGTTCAAAGATTTTTGGAAAGTGTATAGAATAAAGTGTACCGCAAATTCTGCCGGGGGTCAAAGCTGTGCTGGAAAAACTGACATGAGATGTACCATCAATAAATAGTGAGAAGTTATGCTTGAGAAGCAGATTTCGATAACTGAGTGAACATGAGTGTAACTGCAGAAACAGCCGAATATGAATCTGTGGCGGCCATTCTGCTGTGTCATTTCGTATCAGCGACTAGCCCTCGTGGATTTGGCTGTTTAGAAGTTATCGAAGATTGTGTGGTCGTGAGTGGCGTTGGAGTGGTGGTAATTGTGGATTGTGTGGTGGACTGACTGTGTTCTGATGTGAGAACAGTCACTGGTGGATATGATTGTGGTTGTGGAGATGTTTGTGGAAATTCTGTCGTTCTGAGAGGCGTTGGAGTGGTTGTCGGCGTCGATTGTGTGGTGGACATTGTGTGGTATGATTTGGTATGAGTGACTAACCCACGTCCACTTGACGGTTTGGAAGTTATCGATGATTGTGTGGTCGTGAGTGGCGTTGGAGTGGTGGTAATTGTGGATTGTGTGGTGGACTGACTGTGTTCTGATGTGAGAACAGACACTGGTGGATATGATTGTGGTTGTGGAGATGTTTGTGGAAATTCTGTCGTTCTGAGAGGCGTTGGAGTGGTTGTCGGCGTCGATTGTGTGGTGGACATTGTGTGGTACGATTTCGTATGAGTGACTAACCCACGTCCACTTGACGGTTTGGAAGTTATCGATGATTGTGTGGTCGTGAGTGGCGTTGGAGTGGTGGTAATTGTGGATTGTGTGGTGGACTGACTGTGTTCTGATGTGAGAACAGTCACTGGTGGATATGATTGTGGTTGTGGAGATGTTTGTGGAAATTCTGTCGTTCTGAGAGGCGTTGGAGTGGTTGCCGGCGTCGATTGTGTGGTGGACATTGTGTGGTGTGATTTGGTATAATTGACTGCCTTACGTGGTTTTGGCTGTTTGGAAGTTATCGATGATTGTGTGGTCGTGAGTGGCATTGTGGTGGTGGTGATTTTGGAGATTGTTTTGTTTTTACTCTTCGGTTTCTTAGAATGAGTAACCACTGTATTTGTCTGCGGTATTTGATTTGATTTCGGAAATAGTGTAGATATGATTTGAGTTGGAGTGGTGTTGTGCGTCAATGGTGTTGTTGTCATTCTGTGGTGTGATTTGGTATGAGTGACTGGCCCACGTGGTTTTGTCTGTTTAGAAGTTATCGATGATTGTGTGGTCGTGAGTGGCGTTGGAGTGGTGGTAATTGTGGATTGTGTGGTGGACTGACTGTGTTCTGATGTGAGAACAGTCACTGGTGGATATGATTGTGGTTGTGGAGATGTTTGTGGAAATTCTGTCGTTCTGAGAGGCGTTGGAGTGGTTGTCGGCGTCGATTGTGTGGTGGACATTGTGTGGTGTGATTTGGTATAATTGACTGCCTTACGTGGTTTTGGCTGTTTGGAAGTTATCGATGATTGTGTGGTCGTGAGTGGCATTGTGGTGGTGGTGATTTTGGAGATTGTTTTGTTTTTACTCTTCGGTTTCTTAGAATGAGTAACCACTGTATTTGTCTGCGGTATTTGATTTGATTTCGGAAATAGTGTAGATATGATTTGAGTTGGAGTGGTGTTGTGCGTCAATGGTGTTGTTGTCATTCTGTGGTGTGATTTGGTATGAGTGACTGGCCCACGTGGTTTTGTCTGTTTAGAAGTTATCGATGATTGTGTGGTCGTGAGTGGCGTTGGAGTGGTGGTAATTGTGGATTGTGTGGTGGACTGACTGTGTTCTGATGTGAGAACAGTCACTGGTGGATATGATTGTGGTTGTGGAGATGTTTGTGGAAATTCTGTCGTTCTGAGAGGCGTTGGAGTGGTTGTCGGCGTCGATTGTGTGGTGGACATTGTGTGGTGTGATTTGGTATAATTGACTGCCTTACGTGGTTTTGGCTGTTTGGAAGTTATCGATGATTGTGTGGTCGTGAGTGGCATTGTGGTGGTGGTGATTTTGGAGATTGTTTTGTTTTTACTCTTCGGTTTCTTAGAATGAGTAACCACTGTATTTGTCTGCGGTATTTGATTTGATTTCGGAAATAGTGTAGATATGATTTGAGTTGGAGTGGTGTTGTGCGTCAATGGTGTTGTTGTCATTCTGTGGTGTGATTTGGTATGAGTGACTGGCCCACGTGGTTTTGTCTGTTTAGAAGTTATCGATGATTGTGTGGTCGTGAGTGGCGTTGGAGTGGTGGTAATTGTGGATTGTGTGGTGGACTGACTGTGTTCTGATGTGAGAACAGTCACTGGTGGATATGATTGTGGTTGTGGAGATGTTTGTGGAAATTCTGTCGTTCTGAGAGGCGTTGGAGTGGTTGTCGGCGTCGATTGTGTGGTGGACATTGTGTGGTGTGATTTGGTATAATTGACTGCCTTACGTGGTTTTGGCTGTTTGGAAGTTATCGATGATTGTGTGGTCGTGAGTGGCATTGTGGTGGTGGTGATTTTGGAGATTGTTTTGTTTTTACTCTTCGGTTTCTTAGAATGAGTAACCACTGTATTTGTCTGCGGTATTTGATTTGATTTCGGAAATAGTGTAGATATGATTTGAGTTGGAGTGGTGTTGTGCGTCAATGGTGTTGTTGTCATTCTGTGGTGTGATTTGGTATGAGTGACTGGCCCACGTGGTTTTGTCTGTTTAGAAGTTATCGATGATTGTGTGGTCGTGAGTGGCGTTGGAGTGGTGGTAATTGTGGATTGTGTGGTGGACTGACTGTGTTCTGATGTGAGAACAGTCACTGGTGGATATGATTGTGGTTGTGGAGATGTTTGTGGAAATTCTGTCGTTCTGAGAGGCGTTGGAGTGGTTGTCGGCGTCGATTGTGTGGTGGACATTGTGTGGTGTGATTTGGTATAATTGACTGCCTTACGTGGTTTTGGCTGTTTGGAAGTTATCGATGATTGTGTGGTCGTGAGTGGCATTGTGGTGGTGGTGATTTTGGAGATTGTTTTGTTTTTACTCTTCGGTTTCTTAGAATGAGTAACCACTGTATTTGTCTGCGGTATTTGATTTGATTTCGGAAATAGTGTAGATATGATTTGAGTTGGAGTGGTGTTGTGCGTCAATGGTGTTGTTGTCATTCTGTGGTGTGATTTGGTATGAGTGACTGGCCCACGTGGTTTTGTCTGTTTAGAAGTTATCGATGATTGTGTGGTCGTGAGTGGCGTTGGAGTGGTGGTAATTGTGGATTGTGTGGTGGACTGACTGTGTTCTGATGTGAGAACAGTCACTGGTGGATATGATTGTGGTTGTGGAGATGTTTGTGGAAATTCTGTCGTTCTGAGAGGCGTTGGAGTGGTTGTCGGCGTCGATTGTGTGGTGGACATTGTGTGGTGTGATTTGATATAATTGACTGCCTTACGTGGTTTTGGCTGTTTGGAAGTTATCGATGATTGTGTGGTCGTGAGTGGCATTGTGGTGGTGGTGATTTTGGAGATTGTTTTGTTTTTACTCTTCGGTTTCTTAGAATGAGTAACCACTGTATTTGTCTGCGGTATTTGATTTGATTTCGGAAATAGTGTAGATATGATTTGAGTTGGAGTGGTGTTGTGCGTCAATGGTGTTGTTGTCATTCTGTGGTGTGATTTGGTATGAGTGACTGGCCCACGTGGTTTTGTCTGTTTAGAAGTTATCGATGATTGTGTGGTCGTGAGTGGCGTTGGAGTGGTGGTAATTGTGGATTGTGTGGTGGACTGACTGTGTTCTGATGTGAGAACAGTCACTGGTGGATATGATTGTGGTTGTGGAGATGTTTGTGGAAATTCTGTCGTTCTGAGAGGCGTTGGAGTGGTTGTCGGCGTCGATTGTGTGGTGGACATTGTGTGGTGTGATTTGGTATAATTGACTGCCTTACGTGGTTTTGGCTGTTTGGAAGTTATCGATGATTGTGTGGTCGTGAGTGGCATTGTGGTGGTGGTGATTTTGGAGATTGTTTTGTTTTTACTCTTCGGTTTCTTAGAATGAGTAACCACTGTATTTGTCTGCGGTATTTGATTTGATTTCGGAAATAGTGTAGATATGATTTGAGTTGGAGTGGTGTTGTGCGTCAATGGTGTTGTTGTCATTCTGTGGTGTGATTTGGTATGAGTGACTGGCCCACGTGGTTTTGGCTGTTTGGAAGTTATCGATGATTGTGTGGTCGTGAGTGGCGTTGGAGTGGTGGTAATTGTGGATTGTGTGGTGGACTGACTGTGTTCTGATGTGAGAACAGTCACTGGTGGATATGATTGTGGTTGTGGAGATGTTTGTGGAAATTCTGTCGTTCTGAGAGGCGTTGGAGTGGTTGTCGGCGTCGATTGTGTGGTGGACATTGTGTGGTGTGATTTGGTATAATTGACTGCCTTACGTGGTTTTGGCTGTTTGGAAGTTATCGATGATTGTGTGGTCGTGAGTGGCATTGTGGTGGTGGTGATTTTGGAGATTGTTTTGTTTTTACTCTTCGGTTTCTTAGAATGAGTAACCACTGTATTTGTCTGCGGTATTTGATTTGATTTCGGAAATAGTGTAGATATGATTTGAGTTGGAGTGGTGTTGTGCGTCAATGGTGTTGTTGTCATTCTGTGGTGTGATTTGGTATGAGTGACTGGCCCACGTGGTTTTGTCTGTTTAGAAGTTATCGATGATTGTGTGGTCGTGAGTGGCGTTGGAGTGGTGGTAATTGTGGATTGTGTGGTGGACTGACTGTGTTCTGATGTGAGAACAGTCACTGGTGGATATGATTGTGGTTGTGGAGATGTTTGTGGAAATTCTGTCGTTCTGAGAGGCGTTGGAGTGGTTGTCGGCGTCGATTGTGTGGTGGACATTGTGTGGTGTGATTTGGTATAATTGACTGCCTTACGTGGTTTTGGCTGTTTGGAAGTTATCGATGATTGTGTGGTCGTGAGTGGCATTGTGGTGGTGGTGATTTTGGAGATTGTTTTGTTTTTACTCTTCGGTTTCTTAGAATGAGTAACCACTGTATTTGTCTGCGGTATTTGATTTGATTTCGGAAATAGTGTAGATATGATTTGAGTTGGAGTGGTGTTGTGCGTCAATGGTGTTGTTGTCATTCTGTGGTGTGATTTGGTATGAGTGACTGGCCCACGTGGTTTTGTCTGTTTAGAAGTTATCGATGATTGTGTGGTCGTGAGTGGCGTTGGAGTGGTGGTAATTGTGGATTGTGTGGTGGACTGACTGTGTTCTGATGTGAGAACAGTCACTGGTGGATATGATTGTGGTTGTGGAGATGTTTGTGGAAATTCTGTCGTTCTGAGAGGCGTTGGAGTGGTTGTCGGCGTCGATTGTGTGGTGGACATTGTGTGGTGTGATTTGGTATAATTGACTGCCTTACGTGGTTTTGGCTGTTTGGAAGTTATCGATGATTGTGTGGTCGTGAGTGGCATTGTGGTGGTGGTGATTTTGGAGATTGTTTTGTTTTTACTCTTCGGTTTCTTAGAATGAGTAACCACTGTATTTGTCTGCGGTATTTGATTTGATTTCGGAAATAGTGTAGATATGATTTGAGTTGGAGTGGTGTTGTGCGTCAATGGTGTTGTTGTCATTCTGTGGTGTGATTTGGTATGAGTGACTGGCCCACGTGGTTTTGTCTGTTTAGAAGTTATCGATGATTGTGTGGTCGTGAGTGGCGTTGGAGTGGTGGTAATTGTGGATTGTGTGGTGGACTGACTGTGTTCTGATGTGAGAACAGTCACTGGTGGATATGATTGTGGTTGTGGAGATGTTTGTGGAAATTCTGTCGTTCTGAGAGGCGTTGGAGTGGTTGCCGGCGTCGATTGTGTGGTGGACATTGTGTGGTGTGATTTGGTATAATTGACTGCCTTACGTGGTTTTGGCTGTTTGGAAGTTATCGATGATTGTGTGGTCGTGAGTGGCA